ACTCAGAGCCTGTATTGCTCCTGCAGAGCCAGTTATATTAGTCATTTACACCATAGTGTAAATAAGCTTACATGAGTTGGTCTTTGCATCTCAATTTGGGACTAAACTGTTGTGTCTTGTTTAAGGCATGCGGGGCTTCTGGACAAGGATGGGAGGGATGTGGAGGTTGGGGGAGATCCTGTACCTCTAACGTAGTACCTAGGCCGTTCCTGGGTATTCAAGCAATAGTCCCAGGAAATTAATACGAATTTTTTAAAAATGCATTTAGTTCCTTTTCCTCTTTCAGAAGATGGGATGTTTTCAGACATCCCGGATAAGTTTAAACATAATTTTGAATTGTTGGCAAGAGAACCCAGTGTTTTCCCAAATTTTATAAAATTTATCTCTGTGGTAATTGAAAGAGCTTGCCGGAGACCATGATGACGGATATTACTCGTCATGCAACAAGGACCCTGGTTCATGGCGGTAACTTGTACTTCGGGGGCCTTGCGAGGTGTGGGTGACCTGCAGTCCTTTGCCTAGTTCTGCAGCAGCCATGGCGGGGTGGACAGAAGCTCCCTCTGAGTGCCTCCCGAGTTGAGAGAGCCGTTCGCTGATGGGTTGCAGAGGTCAGCTTAGGGTGGTTCGAGCTAGAAGTCGGTGATCCCTGTGAGACAGCAGGAAATACTTTTGGTCTTTGTCCCTGGTTGCTGGCAGGGAGCTAAAACCCTTGGAATTTCCTGATAGGAGCATCTTTTGTCATTCCTGACAAACCCCTTTGAACCAGACCAGAGTTTATGCTAATGAGTGGCTCTTGGCAGAGGTCCCCTGGATACCTTCAAGGTGGGGGCTGGTTGCCAGAGGAACCAGCTGGAGATTAGAGGGTAGGAACTTGAAAAGGCCACAGCCCCAGACCTCTGGGTAGTTGGCGGGTGGGGGGGATGACGCTGAAGGTGCAGTTAATCTCCATGGCCGGTGATGTCATCAGGCATGCCTGTGAGCTGAGACCTCATGAAACCCTTAAACTAGGGGGGGTCAGAGGAACTTCTGGTTTGGTGAACACATCGGGGTGCTGGGAGGTGGGGAGCCCCGAGGGCTTGGCAGCTCTATTCACCTCCCAACCGGCTTCTCACTCTCTTTCATTTGGTGTTCCTGAATGGTGTCCTTTAAAATAAACAATAAAAAAAATATAAAACAAAACAAACCATTAATGGCATAATATTGCCTAAGTTTTGTGAGGCATTCTAGCATATTATCAAACCTGAGGAGGGGCTCATGTTTATAGCCAGTTGGTCAGAAGTGCAGGCAGCAGCCCGGAACTTACCACTAGTGTCTGAAGCCCGGCAGCCTGTGGACCGAGCCCTCAACCTGTGGGATCTGCATTAACCCCAGGAGATTAGTGTCAGAATTGAATCGAACAGTAGGACACATAGTTGGTGTCAGAACTAGTTACCGGTGTGGGAAAAAGCCACACATTTGGTTCAGAAGTGTTTAAAATATATATATGTTTTGCCCCGCAACCAAAGGGCAAGGTTATTTGAAGACACAAGAAGTTGACCATGGTGTGGCAAGAGACAGTGCCCCCATCTGCGTCTTTTATTGGTTAGTAAGGACTTTAGACGAAGGAAACGGGAGGGCACAATGCTAAGAGTTATCCTTTCCTAGTCCGTGAACACAGCATCCCTATGGTGACCATGCTCTTCCCAGGAAGCTGATTCACTTCCCGAAACACTGTGAGGTGGCGACCACAGCCGTGGTGGGAAGCCCATTGTGACCTACAGGCCCCGTGGCCAGTTTCCTTGGGCTCATTCCCTTGGTGGTGACGCAGGCTCTTTGGAAAAGCAGCTTGTGTAGTCAGCAGCTGGCACAGCTCACCCCGTGACCCGGGAACTTGGCATCGGCTGTGTGCACTCCTAGGGTCAGGTGGAGAAGGCCTCCTGGGCTCAGGCCGACACAGGGCAGCTTCACCGAAGCGCCAGAAGTCGTGAAGGGGCGTGCTTCTGTGTGCGTGCAGGCTCATCATGCCAAGATGCTGGTTTGGTCTGCAAATGTTGTTTCTCCCATGCCAGGCTCCAAAGAAGGCTGGTTTCTAGGAAATCCAGCTGGTTGTATATTTTCATGCATCGTCCTGGCCAGAGTCTGGATAAGTTAACTCAGAATCTGTTGTCATCACTTCCAAGCTCCGCCCTCTCCCACGTGCGCAAGTCTTACGTAGTGTAAGCAAACACGCAGACCCAGTAGGCTTCCTTGGAGGACTCATGTGGTATGAGTCTTCTTCCTCCACGATTAGTGCTCTCAGAAGCTACAACACTCAATAAACTCTGGTCTGGTTCAAAGGGGTTTGTTAGGAATGACAAAAGACTGCCCCTGTCAGGAAATTCCAAGGGTTGACAACATTCAGAAAAGAGGAACACAAGAAACTGGCCTTACCACCCTCGGCCCCACGCCCTTCCTCTTGGGTCTCAGAAGACCTCCTGTTCATATTTCAGGCCCGGCGACTCATTGCCGTCACAGAGTGTCTGCCCCCCTCTCTCTTCCCCAGGCAGAATTAATTTTCCCTCCCTCAGGGCTCACTGCATCTTTTCAGAATTCATCACGGTGCCGCTGTTTTCGTTGAGATATAATTTATAGGATGAGATATAATTTATATATTTTGACAAATATATGTTCATCGGATACATACAGTCATGTAACCACCACCACAATCAAGACAGAAAAGAATTGCCTGCCCCCCCCCAAAATTTCTGTGTACTCTTTTGTAGTCAAAGCCTCCCTTCACCCCCAGTCCCTGGCAACCACTGATCTGATTTCTCCCCAATGCTTTGCCTTTGCAAGAATATGAGATGGAATCATAAAGTATGTAGCCTTTTCAGTCTGGCTTCGTTCACTCAGCATACAGCACTTGTGTGTATCTGTGGTTCGTGCCTTTTCATTGGTGAGTGCCCATAACTTTTTATCTCTGCGTGGGTCTCATCCACCATCTCCTGATACCTGGATATTTTTTCTGTCTTTCTCCTTGATGCACAGCCGAGCTCCTCCAGGCTTGGACTGTGCCTTGCGGGACTCTGCATCCCCAGGCCACACATAGTAGGCACTTGACAGAATGTGGTGCTAGGGCAGCTGCGCACTAACGATGCTGGTCCATGATCCTCTACCTCTCCAGGAGGGGCGACATGTCTCTGGGCAGCAGAGCTCCTGCAGAAGTCTGGCCGTGCCTGGGCTTCAGCTCTCTAGGGCTCTGGTTGGTCCCTGCCCAGGCTGTGTTCAG